CCCTGACCTCCTTATTTTTCTTCCTCCCTCTCTCTCTCTCTCCTTTCCCTCTTCCCGTCATTACCTGGGTGCTGGTTTGCTTGTTTTGACATATTTTCCACGTGGCATAAGGTTATCAGTTTGACCTCTTCATTCTTCATCTCTCTCTCTCTCTCTCTCTCTCTCTCTTCTTTCCCTCTTGCCCTCATTCCCTGGGTGCTGGTTTGCCTTTTTTGACATATTTTCCACGTGGCTAATCCAATTTGACAAATATTTGGACACGTTTTCTACACGTGGCAAATTGAATTTGAATGGATGGATTAGCGTAAGAAGATTTTGGCGCGTTCCTCCACGTGGCATCGGTTGATTACCTTGGCATTTTTCTTCACGTGGCATCGGTTGATTACTTCGGCATTTTTGTCCACGTGGCATCGGTTGATTACGTTGATTACTTTGGCATTTCTCGGATGATTACTATGGCATTTTTCGGTTGGTTACTTTGGCATTTTTCTCCACGTGTCATCGGTTGGTTACTTTGGCATTTTTCTCCACGTGGCATCGGTTGATTTCTTTGCCGATTTTCTCCACGTGGCATCGTTTTTTTATCACTTTGGCATTTTTCTCCACGTGGCATCGGTTGATTTCTTTGGCGTGTATCTCCACGTGGCATCGTTTTTTATCACTGTGGTAGTTTTCTCCACGTCGCACAGGATATCACTACCACGGAATTTTGCCATGTTTCCCACGTGATGCCAATTTTCTCCACGTTCGCCATGTGGGCATACTATAATCACTCTTTGATGGATATTGGCATCTCTCCACGTGGCATTAGGATGATTGCTTCGATGCACTTTTTTTGGCATGTTTGTACACGTGGCTACTGTTGCGTTTGCTGCTCACGGTGGCCCGGTTATCTGAGGTAAACCGTCGGCAGAGAGGGAGGGACAAAAGGGAGAAGAGGACAACAAACGAGGGGCTGTGACAAACTGTATATATATTCATATATGTATATCGTCAAACAGAGCTGCCTGGTAAACCGTAGGGCCTGAGAGGGAGGGAGAGGAGGACAACAAACGAGGGGCTGTATATATTGATATATATTCGCTTAGGCGCTCTGATATCATGTGACAATATATATATCGTCACAATGGAAAATATATAGATATACGATATATATAGATATACGATATTTATAGATATACGAACTTGACTTTTATGTTTGATGGATTTGATTATTTACTGAAAATAGGGCACGGCGATCATGATTGTATACAACGTATCTGTCCGGTATATGGTCGTGACGAGGGCACACTCTGTTCGCGGGAGGGAAGACGGTAGTAGTTTCTCTGCCTTGCGTGTGGCGCCTTTTCTCGCTCGCTGTCTCTCTGTTCCCTGTTTAGAAATCCTTTTTTTTTTAATTTCTAATAATCGAATATCTTATTCGAACAATAATTAATAACCTAATTATTAATGCTCGCATAATTTCCGAACAACGTACGAACCGATCTATGCGTGGTTAGCAGCGACTGGTACTTGGGCAGGTCGGTCTCCACAATGCAGCCAAGAAGAGAGAGCAAATGAACATTCAATAGAATGTATATCTTTTTTTTTTTCTTTTTTTTTTTTTCTTTGGTCAACGGATTTATGAAAATGAAAATGGAAGAAAAGAGGATTTTTTTTAATCATCATATTTAGGGCAAGAAAAGAGGAAGAGAAGATCCTGTTCGACTCTTCTTCCACTACGTTACTTTACAAAACGTTTTTTGTATATTAAATACTATTATTGCTAGGCTACCAGCCGGGCCGCCCGGGTCACCCTATTTTCCCGGGCGGCCCGGCCGTGCAAGGACTATAAAAAGTCCAAGCCAAAACAAAAAAAAAATCCAAAAAATCCGAAAGAAAATTATGTTATGCAGAAAAATAAACTGAACAACTTTTGCCTCAGGGTCACATCGAAATTCTTTATCAAATTTAAAATAAAAATTTAAATAAACAAATATTTTTTGCTTTTTTTTTTTTTAATTTCTTTTTGGCCCGGCCGGGCGAGTGGACCCTGGTCACTCTGGTAGCCTAGTATTATTGTGTTTAATTGCATAATAAATAATTTATGTTAGGGACAATTTGCAAAATACCCCCATAAGAGAGAGAGAGAGACAATTTGCAAAATACCCCCATAAGAGAGAGAGAGAGAGAGAGAGAGAGAGAGAGAGAGAGAGAGAGAGAGAGAGAATGGCGGGAATCTTCCCATGGCTAAAAATGTGCCATCGATTATTTGTTGTTTTTTCGAGCAAAGCTGCAACTGTTCATCTGCTTATCATACTAATCTAAAGATAAGGTTGGAAGTCTATAATTAACATCTAACTATGTATCTCGTTAAGGTCACAGAACCGGTAATGAAGCAGATGAACTGTTGCAGGCAGCAGATGATGATATGGTGAATGATTGGATAATGATTGGGTGAACGACATTCCATTGAAAGGTATAACAAAATTGTACAGTCGTTGCGGAAAAGATGATTGGGAAAGTGATCGGTGATGACTGAGGCTGATGACGGTGATGGACTGATGTGTTCTCAACTGATCAGATCTAATGTCAAGTCACTCTAATTTACGTGTGCTCTTCTGTTTTTTTTTTTTTTTTTTTTTCTCTCTCTCTCTCTCTCTCTCTCTCTCTCTCTCTCTCTCTCTCTTTTTCTCTCTTTAATTCTCTTTTTTTCTCTCTGTCTCTCTCTCTCTCTCTCTCTCTCTCTCTCTCTCTCTCTCTCCTTCAATTGTTTTCCCGTTTTTTTTTTTTTCGTTTATGTATTTCCTTTTTTTTTTTTTTTTTTTTTTTTGATTTTGTGTAGTCCCTACAGAAGCGGGGCCCGACCTTGGCGCTACGACCGGGCCTTCCCTTGGCCGACCAGCCTGAGGCTGAGGCGCGTATACGGGAAGGCCCGCGGCCGAACATTGAGCGAGGTACTTGTAACGGGAGTGAGGCTGAGGG